AGCTTAATAACACCTTTTTTTATTACCATGGAACATAACATTGTTAGATTATCAGTTCAAATAACTTTATACAAGTCAGAGCGAAGACGGAAATTTACAGTGCATTCTCAAGAACTGGTATGAGGATATAGATCGAATTTTTTTTATCTCTTTAGGTTTTAGGAGTAAGGACTTTGAGGACCGGTGTGATGCAATCGAACGACCGTCCATTGATGGACCATAAAGCTAAACAAGGAATGGAATGACATTTTACAAAACCGGACTTTTGATCATAAGATCGAGCCGCTTTGAGATGCTCCTACTGGACTATTTTGTTCATTAATAAGCTTTATTTTATTTTGAATCAGTTGGCGGCTTAAGAAAAACAATGAAAATTTTATCCTTTAGAAGCAGCAATAGAGGATAAGTATAGTGTTTATTGGACAATATTTTAAATGGATTTGATTGATCTATTGAGAGGCCTTAGCAGTAGGAACTTATCGTATTTTTAAATTAAATTGATTGAGAGGTAAATTTGCCTTTATAGCAGGAAGGAATTGAAGTGTTAGTCCTCAGTAAGTCCCAGGATGACTCATCATGATTTTAATAAAATGCTTGTCATATTAACATGACGATTTTATTAAAATTGACTCATCGAAGTGGAAAGAAGTCGTGACAACCGGTGGCAAGTCGGGTGGGCAAAGTCTGGCCAAGGTGCCTCACTGTTCGGGAAGAAAGTATCGACTTCCTCGATCTTGGCTCCAAGGGCGGCTACTTTCTAAGCGGCGGTCATCGCCTGCTCGCCCAAGTTCGCAATCCGCCAAAAACAAAGGGACAAATTCCCCCAATGTTTGTCGCATGTTTTATACAAAAATAGTTGTATCGTGTTAAATGAGTTGGCTACTAAAATAGTGCGAATATCTGCTAAATGTGCTAACGTGTTCAGGAAGATTATCCACAAGTTTTGTCTTTCTTACTGATTTTTTAAAATAATTTAAATTGTTAAATTTAGAAAAAAGCCCATTATATTTAGTGGTCTATTGACCAAATTACTTCTTTCAATTAATTTTTTTTTTTTGTAAGGTTTTGGTTGAAATGAAAAAGCTAGTGCCACGAGCGGGATTCGAACCCACGACCTACGACTAAATCCGCCGCTGCTCTACCACTTGAGCTATCGAGACTTCGATCCATTCGGACACCAGGTCTCCATCTCAACCTACAACCTTTCGAGTTTTCCCCCTTTTTACCATTTATCAAATTTCGTGTAATCAGGGTTCGATTCTCGGCGACGTCTGAAGTGGCCACGGGGAGCTGTTAGTGAAGCTATACTTCGTTTTACTCTTTAAATCCATTATATACAGTGGTCTATTGACCAAATTACTTCTTTCAATTAATTAATCTTGTTTTTTGTAAGATTTTAGCTGAAATGAAAAAGCTAGTGCCACGAGCGGGATTCGAACCCACGACCTTCAGCTAAGGTATACGCCGCTGCTCTACCACTTGAGCTTCGAACCCCGCTGGTGGCACTAGCTTTTTCATTTCAACCAAAACCTTACAGAAAATAAGATTAATTAATTTAGAAAAAAGGTCGAGTTTTAAGAGTAAATGTTTAAAAGTGTCTTGTTGGAAATCGTTTGAAAATTGATTTCATCTTTGACCACATTTTTTAATATTTTCTTTATCATTCTATAATGTTTCTTCCTTTCTGATTATTTTTTGGGCACTGTCAATCTCAACTTCTCGACTTAAACATGTTTAACTCGATTAGCATATTTGCGTGATTACTTTCTTTAGGTTATACAAAGAAGTAAAACAAGTACAAAGAAAGTAAGAAGGCACGGATGATCTAGAATTTAATATAATTTTTTCATTGTGCCATATACGTATATAATATTTAAAAGTATTTATAGGTCAGTCTTGCTCATTTCGCACACGATATCATATTAAAATTTGCAAATTGTATATATGGAAGTAAAAACTGGAATAAATTTGCCGATCCACTTAGTTGCATAATGGGCAAAAAAATTATTTATTCCGCTTATTTATATTGAAGCATATAAACAAACTCTTTGAATTATTTATTGGTCAAATTCTTATCGCGGTCTTTCGTAACGACTCACAGCTGAATTAATTTTCTTAATAAAATTTAATTCCTCTTTTTTTAATTTATTAATTAATCTTTATGAAAGGTATTGGTTGAGATAAAAAAGTCAGTGTCAAGAGCGGGATTCGAACCCACGACCTTCGGCTAAATACGACGCTACTCTACCACTTGAGCTATCGTTACTTCGATCCGCTCAGACTCCAACTTCCCATCTCAAACTCACCTCTCGAATTTCACGAAAGCTCTCCGTGGCCATTTCATTTGTCGCCGAGAATCAAATAGATTACACGGCATTTGAAAAATGGCAAAAAGGAGGGAAAATTCGAAAGGTGGGTTGATGGGAAGTTGGTGTCCGAGTGAATCGAAGTCACGATAGCTCAAGTGGTAGAGCAGCGGCGTATTGAGCCGAAGGTCGTGTGTTCGAATCCCGCTCGTGACACTCACTTTTTTATCTCAATCTTTCATAAAGATTAATTAATTGAAAATAAAAATTAATTAGTCAATCGGACCACGAACTGTAATGGGTTTAATTCCTCAGTTAATCAGCGTTCCGAAATTACTTCAGAATAGAGATTCCAGTTAGACTCCAGAGTCTGCTATTTGGTTAGGTGTTCTACCTAGCTAGGTTTTGTAAATAAAAATTGTTTTGATTTTTTGTTTTCCAAATGTTTAAAATAGTCTAATTATAATAAGGGAGTTCTTAAGATAATAGTTTTAAGAAAGAGCCTCAAAACGCTCAAACTGTAATTTCGTCTATCAGGATCTTTTCGGGATGTTACCATATGAAATGGGATTTCAGAATGACATTCAGTAGGAAATCACTCAATCATCACACTAGAAATCAATCAACATCATCAGTACATTAAAACACGGACTGTCCAATGGCAAGAAAAGAAACAGACTTCTTTGGCCTTAGTGTTCGCCATAATAAATTACTTATTATTCAATTTTTTATGGCTAACTAAACAAACATACTGACCTAAAAAATAGCAGCATATACGGATTTTGAGCTGGTTTATATTGATTATTGATGGTTTAATTAACTACACACCAAAATATGACGGTGTTGAACTGCATTTTTTTTACTTCCTGGCCTTAATAGGCGTCTCTGTGGTTTTAATCTGTTACACGCGTTTTTGGACACGATTGACACAACAACACACAGACAAACCACTGGAGAAGGTGAACTCGTCCGACATGCAAAAGCCATCGAGAAAAAATCAAGTCGAGAACGATCGGGGATGATCAAGAACCTTGCCCTTCTTGATTACTGAAATTTATGAAATTGTATCATTTATCACCTGAATAAACAAAAAAAAGGAAAGTGAACTCTTCTTTGAAAAACTAATAATTTTATTAGAGTGTGGGCTGCTTGAAAACCCTCCCATCAGTATATAATATTTTTCCCCTCTAGATTCCTTGTATTCACAAATTTATAATTCGTTTAAATTAAGGGTTTTATACAAGGGCTGTTCTTTTGTTTCGGATTTATTGACAACTATATATGGATATATGACTTAATCTTTAAATTAATTGGTCAATCAGCTAAAGAGCAGTTGTAAGATAGTAAAAAGTTCAAAATTTTCAATCCCCATTTCAAGGATCGACAGGACAAAGAAAGGAAAATGCTGTTTTTGTTATGCTCTTCCTTGGTCCTTGTCAATTGTAATTAGCAGGGCTAAATACTATTAGTAAATTCAAAGTGATGCTGCCCTGTCAAAAGACGAATTATAAAAGAGGGCTTGATGTGGAAGCAATCTGTTAACATAAATTTTGGTCGGTTGGTTTGTCTAGCTAGACCGGTTTTGTAAATAAAAAATTGCAGTAGAACATTTTTGCTCTCCGACCATTGTTATCCATATGTTCACACAAAATAGGCTAATTTATTAGAAGGGAGTTTGTACGAAAGTAAACGTTTGTAAAGAAAAAAAAAGGCATGGATGTAAACTATTTGTATTTATAATATCCACTTTGGTAAATCTAGATCAAAATCAAATCATTCACGTAAAGCGAGAATAAATGCGAAAACGAAGCAACCTACTTCGGTGACCATTATTGCAAAGGCTGTGAAACCTACATGGCCGAATTGTTTAACAATCACTTTTTCGATTTGGCTGGTGCAAGAAACGTTGTAAGCATTTTCCCGGGTGCATTTTCCAATCGCTTTATCGAATTTACAGCAAGATGCCGGCAGCTGCTCGATTTTCCACTCCTGCTTTCCGCGAGCTCCGCAACATTCCATGTGTTGTTGTAGAACGTCGATGCGTTGTTTGTGCCTTTCGTAATTTTCGTAATGCTTTTCTAGTCTAGTAGATGATTCCTTTTTCAGGTTGTTTTTATAGACGTACGCCAGAACCCCGAGGACGGTCTGCAGGAGGACGAGCGCTATCAACGTCCCCGCGTACGCCATTAGCATACAACTGTGTCCATTCATAATTCCGTAACAACCGAGGAATGAGTTGAGAAGAATAAAAATGCCAACGACGATGAACAAATTGGATATGATAGTCAATTGGCCGTCCAGGATCGAATTGAAGGGTCGGCCCTGAAGGTACGCCATCGCTCCAATTAGAATGACTACCAAGCCCGATATCGCACATAGGATGTTGAGGCCCCAAAGGATGTACTTCATTGAATGACACATCTCTCATTCGTCCTGCCCACTTATTTTTATCTCACTGGATTTAAAATAAAATTTACGCTGAATTTTTTATTTTCTATTAGTACATGTAAAGAATATAATCGAACTAAAGCGAGAAAAATAGCAAACGAACTATATCAAAACATAAGAATTGTGTGTAAACATATGATAACACTTTCCATGTTGTCCAGCGGTTATTTGAAATATTATAAAATCGAACAGATTAATAAGGATTTATAAGACATTTTTGTTTTAAAAGTTTTTTTTTATTATTTCAATTTGTATTCAAGAATCTCACTGCTGTTATGTTCTTTCTTTCTTGTATACAATTGTATTCATTCTTTTCGCGGAGAAAGGAGCTTGGAGGAATGACTCTTTTTTTCTTCGGGTGACGAATCCCTTGGAAATTTGTCGACTATCTTCCGAACGTAGAATTTGCTTAAGCAACAGGATAAAAAGACACATTGTATATCCAACAGAACGAGAACGAAGGAAAAGATGCTCATCAAATAGAGACCGTTTTCGATTAGACTTCCCGCTTTATCGGAACAAGAGGAACTGTAGGCCGATGATACCGAGCAAGTACCTGTTTCCCGGCCGCAACACGATGATGGTAGTTCCGCTATGTCCCATTTTTTCGCGCCCCATATGCCGCAGCATAATAGGGCCAACTGGAATTGGTCCATTTCGATTTTGTGCTCGTCGTACGTTCGGAAATTTTCCTCGAGTGCCTTGTTGAGAGTGTGGCGGAAGTCTTTAACCCGAATAATCATAATAGAACCGATTGCGATTTGAGTCAATGCCAGAACCAACATAAAACACGCGTATATTTTGAACAAGGGGTCACTCTTCGATATCACCCCCACGATGCCGACAATGGATATTACGAATAGAACAATCCCCACGCTGATAAATCCCTTTACGACAAGGACTTGATCAACGAGAAAAGCCTTGACGAGGAGGGCATCGTTCATTTTCCTCGAACCGATTACAATAATGCCGATTCCTAATAACCCATTGACGATGATTGCAATTAGGAAGTACGCCCTTTTAAGTTTACCCATAATCGAATTTAATAGCTTCTTAAAACAAACAAAAACTATTTAAAAAATGAATGACTCTAATAAAACTTTCCTATCCAATCCGTCACATCTGTTTATTTCCTGCATATACGGAATACTACCGTTCCTTCATCTTCTTTATTAAGTGAATGTATGTTGTTCATTTATAAAAAAAATAATAACATAATTACACCCGTAGATTAGTCGTTTAAAACTACAACATGGTCTCTCGGCTTTCAGCGACATTTATTATTATGTTATTATCTATAACAATGGTTCTATTATTATTTCTATTACTTTTATGAATTAGGCCCTGATGATAGAATGTCAAAAGCCATGCCATATGCCAAAAGTTAGCCAAGAAAATACTTAAACAATGCTATTAATGCCCTCATCTGGATATCTTCTATTCCGAAAAAGTAAAGATCTTTGGAAGACAAGTCAGCTGTATGTAACATACAAAGCTTCGTCCACAAAGAACTGACAGTTAATTATTACTTAAGAAAAAACTAATTTAGCATTTCTTGTATGAAAGTTAACGATAATTAGCTACTGTTAGGGTTATTCAACACTGACCAAATTTGTCAGTATTTTTGATTGCAATCAATTCAAATTTAGAAAATTCAAAAAATAATTTTTTATGTGTTGGCAGAGAAAATTCACATTTGACATATTTATTGCAAAGGGATCACCTGTTTTACATACTTATTGTAAAATATTCCACGTGATATAACCGTCCATGAGTGAACCTCAGCACCGAATAATTTGTATTATTAGATATATTAAACTTACAGACGCTGCATAGAATGTCATGTATGTCATGTATATATATAAATATATAGTATATTTATAAATGTATATTTATGTATATATATAAATGTATAGTAAAGTATATATATAAATGTCATGTATTCACTTACAGAGTGCATGTAAAAACGTGCATAAAATTCAAATACTTAAAACTATGTGAGTGATTTTTCACAAAATGTAATGAATTTATTGAAATTTCATGTTAAATTGAGAAATTTTTCACAAGCACATCTAAGCACTAATCAATCATTAATTAATTTACAAATAGTTCAAACATATCAGGCATGTAGAAATGTGTATAAAATCCAAAAACATAAAACTATGTAAGTGAATCTGGATTTTACACAATAGTGTAGTCGATTTATTGACATTTCTTGTTAAGGTGAGAATCTTTTCAGATGTTCACCTAAATGAATTATTAATTTACCACAAATTAATCAATTATTAATTAATTTAGAAATATTATACTATCGTACATTTAGAAATTGCAAGTATTCATTCATAAAAATAGATAATTTTATTTATATTAATGTAATTGACTCTTGGACTACCCTTAATTTAAAAAAACATTTTAGGAAGAGAAAAAAGGTAAACAAATTATACATAGAATACATGAGAGAATTTCAATTTTTCACAACAGCGTAGTCAATTTATAGACATTTTTTGTTCAATTGAGAAAATTTTCGACATGCACATCTAACCACACGTTGATAAATTATTAATCAATGACTAAAAAGTCTCATGATTTTTCTCAACAGTACAGTCTATTTATTGACATTTTTCGTTCCACTGAGAAACTTTTTCACATGCATATCTAAGCACAAGTTATTAAATTATTAATTAATTTACAATAACGTGTATGAATTCCAAATACATAAAACTATGGTTGTGAGTCTTGATTTTTCTCAATAGTTAGTTAATTTATTGACATTTCTTGTTAAATTGAGAACTTTTTCACATACATATCTAAGCACAACTTATTAAATTATTAATTAATTTACAATAACGTGAACGAATTCCAATTACATAAAAGTATGGGTGTGCATCTTAATTTGTGTCAACTGTGTAGTTAATTTATTGACATTTCTTGTTAAGGTGAGAGTCTTTTCAGATGTTCACCTAAATAAATTATTAATTTACCATAAATTAATCAATTATTAATTAATTTCCAAATATCTTCAAACGTTCCATTTAGAAATTCCAAGAAGTAATTAATAAAAATAGATGATTTTATTTATATTATTGTTGTTGACTCTTGGACAACCCCTAATTTAAAGAAACTTTTTTTAGGAAGAGAAAAAAAGGTAAAAAATTATACATAAAATAGATGAGAGAATTTCAATTTTTCACAACAGTGTAGTCAATTTATTGCCATTTTTTGTTCAATTGGGAAACTTTTCCATATGCACATCTAAGCACACGTTGATAAATTATTAATTAATGACTAAAAATGTCTATGAATTCCAAATACATCAAACTATGGGTGTTAATCTTGATTTTTCTCAATAGTGTAATTAATTTATTGACATTTCTTGTAAAATTGAGAACTTTTTCACATGCACAAATTTATTAATTTAGAAAGATTTCAATACATAGTAGAAATGGATATGAATTCCATCGATGTATAGTCAATTTATTGACAATTTTCTTTTTAAAATTAGAATATCTAATTATCAACTTAATAATTATGGCAATGAAGCTTACAAAAACACGCTCTAAATAGTTAGATAGATGAAAATGTCCGTTTATGCATACATTGCTAATTCAGTTTTTTAAGGCTGGAGGTGTAATTAAGCCGAGCAATATACCGGAGTTTTTTCAGATGTGGTTATTGTAATATTTATAGATGAAGGGTTCAATTTATTAGAACGTTACTGTACTGTCACTGATTGATTTAAAGAACACCCAGGAAAAGACTATCTTAAAAGCGGCACGTGCCAGAATTTCATCTTCCTGTCTTGGATATTTCAAATTCTTATCGACGTCGGCTTTCTTTCGGCCAAGGACGAACGCGTTTATCAACGGCGGTCATCAACTTGGCACCGGATCTATCACCAAATTCCCACCCTTTTGGTAACAGACAAGGAAGACACTGTCGCCTGACACGAGTCGGCACGAAAGTTTGACGAACTCGGTACACACACACAAGCACAAGTGTATTTTTTTTTTTTAAGGAAATACGAAAGGAATTCAATCACGGAGTAATAAAAACGGTCGTTACATATTTCATTTTGGGATATCATAGCTGGTTGCGACAACTCTCCGTTAAAAGTTAATAGACCAATTTTGGCTGTTACTTAAAGACCACTGGCTGTTGGAAAACACCTTCGGATTGATGAACGGCTTAAAACGATCCTCTGACACTAATTAATAGCCATGAGCGGAAGGAAAATAGACGATGTGACTATCCGACTCTTCTATTCCAGGATAGGCGACAATTTTGTCGAGGGCACCGGCTTCCACAGAATCCTTGGCCGTTTACGTAATGAAACCGGCGACTTCTGACACTTTCTCCGATTTGCATCGCTTTTAATAATTCAGGATTACCTGAAAACTGTTTCTTTTATGGCTCCGTAATCTGAAGAACAGGTTGGTTTGTGTTCGTTGTATAAAGTCTGTCAAGGTTACTAGATCACTAAAGTCGAATATGTAACATTTATAGTTTTATAATATATAATAGTTCTTGAAAACTTTTTTTGTTTTTATAAAAAAAAAAAATCTTGCTTACATAGCCCTGAACGCCGACAGGAACTAGCAATTTCGATGTTCCCTGAAAATGAATTCTCTGTACAAGAGGTCAGGGCCAATTACACCATTGACCAATTTGTGAGCAGAGATTTCGAACTAGTCAACAATTTTCAAAAGTAATAATATAATATAAAAACATTTTCTAAACAGACCAAAGTACGTGTTACTATCGAATTTGCTTTACTTTCGTGTGATTTTATATTTGAAAAACGTGTACAACTCTAATGATTGAGTATCAATAATTACAAAAGAAATAGTATAAAATAAAGCGAATGGAGAGAGATTTGTTAATTTGATTTAAGTAGTGATAATCGCAAAAAGTTGATTAGTTCATCAAAGGGGCCATCGACAACAAGGTCATTACATCCCCGAACGTAAATAGTTTTTACTTAGACACACTCACATTCTTTCTTATTCCTAAATATGTACATTCACGTAACTAGTTATGTACATACTCATTCATCTTTACACCTAAACACATACTCAATGTTCCGCCATAGGTTCTCTTGTACTATACATTCACGCTTATAAATACATTTTCACGAAACAGTTATTTACAATTCAAAAATCATAAGCACCCCTGTTTCTTTCAAAAAATTTTCTGTTAGGATGATACCTCCTCAGCGATTTAGATTTTCTAAGGGGCCGTGTTCTTGATGCAAGAGCTTCTCGGATGATTGATAAATTATTATTCTTATCATAACTCTAGGATTTGTAATTGAGTGAGATAATTTATTGGTTTTAGGCAACCAATTTTAGACTGAAATGGCTTTTTAATTGTTTATTGCTCTTCATTATAGCTTAAATGTGTCAGTACATGCAAAATAGACTGCACGTTCAAACAAATCTACACAGTGTTAGAAAAAACAGTAAACACCAATATAAAATTATGAAAAAAATCATCATATTAATTGAACATAAGAGTATAAATTTTCTTTGACAATATTTTTTTAGTTTAAACGAAATACTGTGAAAAGAGTTAAGTTGTATTTTAAAGATTGACTGTTCTACTGAAAATACTAGAAAACTAGCTTAAAGTAAAAAATTATGAATCAATATAAAACTATGAAAAATTAAGTGTGTAATGAATAAATAAAATTACACAATAGATAAAAGACAAATCAGAACATTATTCACCAATAGGAAAGTACATTATTTTTTAAATATATATTCAACACCATATGTGGAGAAGTATCGCCCTTATGCGACTTAGAATAGGTCATAAGCTGTTGACATACGGACTTTTTGGCGAAAGCCCGCATAAGTGCCCTTTGTGCAGAGAAACGTTGCTCGATGTGGACATAATGGACGTTTGTCATGCTTTGGCTACATGTAAAGAGCGTGCAGGCATGCAGACGGATATAAGAGTGACTTTAGGGCATGGTAGTCGGTTTCTAGTTTCCCCTTATTTCAATTTTAAGAGAAAATATTTTTTAAAATTGTATTTGGTTCGTTCTTGTTTTGCCAATCTGTGTTATGTTTGAGTGCGTATTTATTGTATTGGTATGAATGGAGAGGGGCTGTTG